TATTGATGCCAGGAAACTCAGCCTCTGTGCACTGATGCTGAATTGAATTTCAGAGAGTGAGTTTTGAGTGAAGTTGAAAAGAGAAGCTTTATTGCTTTGCCAGGCATAGTGGGGCACAATGGGGTCCTGCCCTTGAAAACTGTGTGTCTCAACCTGGGAGAACCTGGTGAGGCATTTTACTGTAATAGTTTAGGAGTGGGGTTGCTGATAATATTAAGGTGAGTACAAAGCCTGCACCCTAGATTACTGCTATGTGTATCCCTTGAGGCAGAACCAGAACTGGGCTGCACACTTGTTTCTTGGCTATTCCTGCCTTGTCTCTGCATTCCCTCCCTTCCCTGATTGGCAGATGTTTGAATCTGCCCTTTGGGAGTCAAGGAAGGTCATGGAGGCTGGATCTCTTCCCTACAAACACAGAATAGGGGACACAGACAGGCTTTCATACCCAGGAACCCCCACAGGGTCTACTTGGTTTCAGTATTTTTAGGAAATTGCCAGTACTCAAGATGCCTATTCCCCTTTCTTTGTATCCCAAATTAATATGATCACAAACAGACCTTTAATAAAGTTAGTGTAGGAAACAAAAATTAAGATGAATAAAAAAATAATTGGAGGGAAGGAATAAGAAATTTTCCTTCTACCTTGCTGAGTTCTTAACTGAAACCCCTATAGTAAAAGACAGAGTAAGAAAAACAAATTTATTAATATATATGTCTTATGTACACATGGAAGATACCCAGGGAAAAGTGAGTATTCAAATAGGAGGCTTTAGAATTCAGAATTACATACTCTTCTAAAAGGAAGAGAGGAGGAGGAGGGATGTAGGCCTCTTAAGTGAGACTAAATGATTTTAGGAAAAATGAATGGGCCCTCAAGAGACTAGCTGAGAGCTATCATAGTTTGTAATAAAGCTTGTCTGGATCTAGTGTGGGCTTCTAGTTTCCTCCTCCTGTGATAAGAATTAATCTTCTCTGGTGAAACTTTACGGGAGTGAGTTCCTTTTGGAGGGTCTTTCAGCAGATAAGGGGTGTTCTAGGAAAATCTGTCCCTCTGTTTTTTTTTAAGTGCCTACTGTCCAAAATAATCAATATGCCAAAGTGGCATTTTTAGGCTACTATATTCTGCAACCCTCCATAATAACAGATTTTAAATAATTTTTTAAAATATCTAAAAGAAGGAGAAATTATTCAAGAATTTACATTAATTTTTAATGTTATCTAGGAGAATTAAGGGGACAAAATAAATGTAAGAGTAAAAAAAATAGGAGTGAAAATAACAGTAAAACATTTAAAACAATTTAAAAAATAAATTTCCAGTAAGGTGAAACATACTTGGAGTAACAGGCGAGTTTGACCTAGGAGTACAAAAATGAAGCAGGGCAAAGGCTATAACAGAGTTTTGCCAAGAGACCACACTGGTCATGGTAAACACCCTATTCCAACAACACAAGGGATCACTCTATACATGGACATCACCAGATGGTCAATACTGAAATCAGATTGATTTTCTTTGCGGCTGAAGATGGAGAAGTTCTATACATTAAGTAAAAAGAAGACTGGGAGCTGACTGTGGGTCAGGTCATGAACTCCTTACTGCAAAATTCATACTTAAAATGAAGAAAGTAGTGAAAACCACTAGACCAAAATCCCTTTCGATTATATGGTGCAAGTGACAATTAGATTCAAGGGATTAGATCTGATAGACAGAGTGCCTGAAGAACTATGGATGGAGGTTTGTGACAGTGAACAGGAGACGGTGATCAAAACCATCCCCAAGAAAAAGAAATTAAAAAAGACAAAATGGTTGTCTGAGGAGGCCTTACAAATAGCTGAGAAAAGAAGAGAAGCGAAAGGCAAAGGAGAAAAGGAAAAATACATCCATCTGAATGCCAAAGTTGCAAAGAATAGCAAGGAGAGATAAGAAAGCCTTCCTCAAACTACCACACAATTGCACTCATGCTAACAAAGTAATGCTCAAATTCTCCAAGCTAGGCTTCAACAGTATGTGAACCAAGAACTTCCAGATATTCAAGCTGGATTTAGAAAAGGCAGAGGAACCAGAGATCAAATTGCCAACATCTGTTGAATCAAAAGCAAGAGAATTCCAGAAAAACAGCTACTTCTGGTGCATTGACTGCACTAAAGCCTTTGACTGTGTGGATCACAACAAACTGTGGAAAATTCTTAAAAGTGGGAATACCAGACCACCTGACCTGCCTCCTGAGAAATCTGTATGCAGGTTAAGAAGCAACAGTTAGAACCAGATATGGAACAACAGACTGGTTCCAAAACGGGAAAGGAGTACGTCAAGGCTGTGTATTGTCACCCTGCTTATTTAATTTATATGCAAAGTACATCATGCAAAGTACATCATGCGAAATGCCGGGCTAGAGGGAGCACAAGCTGGAATCGAGATTGCTGGGAGAAATATCAATAACCTCAGATATTTAGATGACACCACCTTTATGGTAGAAAGCAAAGAGGAACTAAGAGCCTCTTGATGAAAGTGAAAGAGGAAAGTGAAAAAGCTGGCTTAAAACTCAACATTCAGAAAACTAAGATCATGGCATCCGGTCCCATCACTTCATGGGAAATAGATGGGGAAATAGTGGAAACAGTGAGAGACTTTATTTTTTTGGGCTCCAAAATCACTGCAGATGGTGACTGCAGCCACGAAACTAAAAAAAAACGAAAACAAAAACAAAATGCTTGCTCCTTGGAAGAAAAGCTATGACCAACCTAGACAGCATATTAAAAAGCAGAGACATTACTTTGCCAACAAAGGTCTGTCTAGTCAAAGCTCTGGTTTTTCCAGTGGTCATGTATGGATGTGAGAGTTGAACTGTGAAGAAACCTGAGCATCAAAGAATTGATGCTTTTGATCTATGGTGTTGGAGAAGACTCTTGAGAGTCCCTTGCACTGCAAGGAGATCCAACCAGTCAATCCTAAAGGAAATCAGTCCTGAATATTCATTGGAAGGATTGATGCTGAAGTTGAAGCTTCAAAACTTTGGCGAGGAAATGCCAAAGAAATGGGAAGAAATGACTCATTGGAAAAGACCCTGATGCTGGGAAAGATTGAAGGCAGAAGAAGAAGGGGACAACAGAGGCTGAGATGGTTGGATGGCATCTCCAACTCAATGGACATGAGTTTGAGCAAGCTCCAGGAGTTGGTGATGGACAGGGAGGCCTGGTGTGCTGCAGTCCATGGGCTTGCAAAAAGTCGGACACGACTGAGTGAATGGTACTGAACTGATCTTAAGGTGAAGCATATTCTCATACATCTACCAAAGGACAAACATAGACCTGTATATTTCTAACTAGATCCTCTTTGTTCAGTTCCCAAATCCTGAGATCCTTGGAAGGGAAGGGAATTAAGGGGCAGAGACTTGGGTCTTTGTTCCTCTCCTTGGCCTGGGTCAGGCTGCTTGTATATTCTTTATAAGACCTGTGAAGGTGAGAAACAGAATTTTCAGTGGAAAACCACGAGTGAACATGCTCTTTCAGTCCACCTGTGAATCTTGAAGCACATTTAGGAGCACAAAAACAGCAATCAAATTCACTTTTAAATGTCTTTAACATTAATTTTGTTGGAATTATTTAGCTACTTTTAGTACTGTATGGTCTTTGAAAATAGAACTGTTTTCTTATTTTTAAGTATAAATATTTTACTAAGAACTATAGCAGATATTTAAATCACTAGAACAGATGAATTGTATTTGCATATTATTTCTATATTGCTGAAAGAATGTTGTAAATGAATTCAGCACCATGGTGTTAGGGGACTAGAAAGAGAAACTTGGGAACCAATCGATGATTTTCAGGGTAAAGGTACATATTCCCTAGGTGGCAAATTCTACCTATTCTGACTTTTATTATCCTTAGGATAATGTTCTATTTATTTCGTGAGTACAGAAGTTTTAATTGGATATGTCATGTTTCAAAGACAAAAGAAATGCCTAATTCACTCTAACAAACTTGTTAGTCACTGTTTATACCAAGAGGATTTCTACTCTACAGAGAATAATATTGTTTTCTTTTTCCTTTGTTGATAAATCAAAGTTTTACACTGACCTACAGCAGCCAAGCATACTTTAAAGCAAAATCATCGCAGACTAATACAGATATTCAGCCTTTTAGCTTTATGTATTGTTATTTTTGCCCCCTTTTTGATTTTTTGAGAAATATAATTCAAAAATAATTCAGTAAGAAAATATTAAATTTGTCACTAATTTATCTAAGAAAAATATTTATAGGTTTTAATGTATTTCAGTTCTAATAATATTAACTGAAGTTTTACGATTGTTTTTTCCTTTAATGTTGTTATGTTTCTTATATATAGTTTTGCTTGTTTGAAGGGATGCTTGGGCAGTGTAGGAATGATTTGAACTTTACCCTTGACTGGGTAAAGTCAGTTATTCTGAAAATGTGATTTTTGTGCTTTACTCTGCCAGTACAGGATCTTTTACTTAAAAAAAAAAAAAGAAAAGGTGGTGGTAGGGGGTGTTACAGTTTCAGTCCACCCTAATTCTGTGACTATTTGCTTTGTTCTGCAATCACTCTGATCCTCCTGGCAGGGAACAAGATCCAGAGAACAAAACTAGTAGTGACTGTGTAGATAAAAAGGCAGTGAATTCTGCTTTTAAGGCAAAGAGGGAATAGTCTACAAAAGAATGAAAATGGGAATAAAAGTACAGCATTGTTAACCTGCAGATCTGTTGTACCTTTGAAAATCTTAAACTGCCAAGAAAAAAAAAGTGACACTACAAAGATTCATAATTATGTGACTGAAAATCTTGAAAAGGGTCACCATTCAGTTTATGGCCAATATTTGACAATGAAATAGACTACATTATTCATAGTGGAGAAACTATAGACCCCTTTTCCTTAAATGACAGGACAGTGTTTCAGCAGTATATGAGGTACCATAATATATTATATATATATATATATATATATGTAATACTATATAGACATACTATATTATTTATTCTCTGCCAGAACAACTCTTTAGACACGATGAAGATGATGGGGTCAAGAAGAGTACTCCAGAGAAGAATTGGAAAGAAATGTCGGAGCAGACATTACAGAAGGTATTCTAATCTTTAAGATATTGAACTGAGCAAGTTAAATCTGAATTTTAACATAAAGGATTATGTTTTAAAATGAGGGATCATGAAGTTAAATCTTGTGTGAATCCTTAATTTAAATTCAAAATCACTGGCTTACCAAAATGGGGCTAAAAAATCAATGTTAGTGAAATAAAAAATGTGGAAACACTTATGCTTCTTTTGACATAGATTTAAAATATTTTCAAGAGATAAAAAGAATGATAACAATAGAAAGTACAAAAATTTTTACATTTCAACACACTTATTTAAACTACAATATTTAAACTAAAAAAAAGAATAGTTTTAGTTTTATGTAGTAAAATGTTTATAATTTTATAAATTTTTAAAGTATAATATGTTTATAATTTTAAAGTTAAAGTTGAAAGTTACACATTCTCATCTCATTTTAGAGAAACATTTATGCCCATATGATTTGGTATAACTCTCCCTGTTTTAACAAAACCCCTCCATATAAATCCTATAGTCACTTTACAACATGGTCATCTTCATTAATAAAATGTTGTTTAAAAATCTTAACATTTGTCTTTGCAATTTTGTACTTAAATAGTAGTCATCAATTTCAGTTAAACGGGCTTGGTTTTATTTTAGCACTTTTTGTTATTGTTATAAAGGAAATGTTCTTTAAATAGATTATTTGTGTAACCAGCTACCACTTGGATACTTAGAAAAAGCTGTAAGTGTCCAGATATATAGACAAAAATATTAATGTAGTTACTTAAATTTTGTACATCTGTGGATTGATTTGTAGGAAATCTGTTGATATACAGCAGATGATGAGATTCCTTATGCTTCTAACACTCGCCATATGGTCAGGTAACAGAGGCTGTCATCTCATTATTACTGAATGACACATATCAGTTTGGCATTATAACATAGAAAACAAGAAATGCTCATGTTCATTTATCTTAAGGTAAAATAAGTAATTGAAATAAAGTATGTACTTCCAGATAGAATGTGATACAGTTTATAGCAGCTTACCTTTTTTGTTTCAGAACAATTTGTTCATTTTTGCCAGGTTTTGTATAATTTTTATCTCCATGACATATTATACTATACTGCTACTTACTACCTTGGGGTATAAACCCTGAAGAAATTTATTATTTCATTCCAACTGCCATAAATAATGTGGAGAAGGAAAAATAATTTTCCTCTATTCTTCTACGTTGTTGGATAAGACATCCCTTGTAATAAAAAGACAGGTTAACAGGGAAAAATATAAGTTTAATAACATGTATACTTCCTGTATACATGGAAGATCACCCTTGGAAAGTGATACTATGAAATGGCCTAAGCTATCACCTTAAATACCTTCTTCAACTAAAGACAAGAAAAGAGGTTGGGGCTCTGGAGTCAGTTACTACTCAGTTTTTAGATATTCTCCTATGTCTGCAGTTTCTTAAAAACAACCAGCTCAAGAGAAGACGTGCCAAAGAGACATTTTAGAGTGTCAGAATTCTGTTCCCCTTCCTTGTCTACTACTATAGCAGATCCAGAAATCCATTTTAACTCCTGAAAAACCCAAAGGAATTATTTTCATAGGACCGTGTGTCAAATTTGTCACTTAAAAAAATGCAGCTGTATGAGTCATTAATTTAACCCCTTTTAGTTGAGTTTCCTTATTTTACAAGGGTATATATGAAATTCAGAATGGCTTTAAAAGATAGTGAAAACATGAAAACAATATTTGTACATAGTAGAAATGAAACATATGAGTAGATTTGTTTTTTTAAAAAAATTATTAACATTTCAACCCTTATGGGGTAAATTATGTCTCCCTTCTCCAGGGGATCTTCCCAACCCAGGGATCGAGCCCAGGTCTCCTGCATTGCAGGCAGATTCTTTAGCATCTGAGCCACCAGGAAGCCCAATTGTGTCTCCTCCTCCAACCAAATTCATATGTCAAAGTCCTGATCTCCTGTATCTCAGAATATGACTATATTTGAAGATGAAGGTCTTTAAAGAGTTAAGTTATAATGAGGTTATTAGGGTTTAAGTCACCCAATCTGTGTACATTGTTATGACAGCTCTAGCAAAGTAATACACAAACTTCAAAAAGTCAGGTGTTTTATTTCAGTTTTGAAAGAAGCCATCTTTTTGGTAAATTAAATTCTCAATACTGGACTTGAGATGATCTATTAGCACCCAAACCAAATGCTTTTAACAATTCCCTAGACTTTCATTTTCAAATATAGGTTGAAATTTTCCTTTCTATTTTTGGAAAAGTAAAGTCAATTTGGGAGAAGGAAATGGCAACCCACTCCAGTATTCTTACCTAGAGAATCCCGTGGACAGAGGAGCCTGGTGGGCTGCTGTCCATAGGGTCGCACAGAGTCAGACAGCACTGAAGTGACTTAGCATGCATGCATTGGAGAAGGAAATGGCAACCCACTAAAGTATTCTTGCCTGGAGAATCCCAGGGTCAGAGGAGCCTGGTGGGATGCTGTCTTTGGGGTCGCACAGAGTTGGACACGACGAAATGATTTAGCAGCAGCAGCAGCAAAGTCAATTTGACAACAATTTTTAGAGAGTGTACCTTGAATAACACTTTCTTATGTGCTATGAACTTTCCTTCATCAAATTCTTTAGAAGTAGTATCTATGTTGTTTCCCATTTTAAACTTAAATACAAATAATCTTTACTAATTCTTATGATTAAACATAGATTCACAGTAGGCAGTTAACAAACTTTAAACATTTTAAACATACCAGATCTAAAAAAGGTATTTCTCCATTGTTGCATATGAAATTTTCATGAGTTGTACCCAATCTTAAAAAAAAAAAAAAAAAAGCCAGTTTCCAGGATTGAACTCTCAAATTTAAGATGTTACACTTCTTCATAACATATTATATTTTAATCAAAAGTGTAAGTTGATTTAATAGCTAATTCAGCAGTATTTAGTGTAGGTAATTGCATTTTTAGCTCAAGTAATTTTATTAAATAGCTGTTATGATTAATAATAATGAGATGATGATAAACTGTTTAGAACTTACTGTTTGCTAAGAATTGTTGTATATGATCATATTTAGTACTTATAACTTAGAAGATAGCTGTTACTATTCCCATTTTACAGATAAGGAAAGTAAAGGTAAAATAGATTAATATCTCATGGGGTAAAGCAGTCAGAGCTAGATCTGAGATCTAGACCAGGCTCAAAATTCAATTTCCTCCAGACTGAAGTCCTTCTTACTGATATTTTTATATCATCACTGTCAAAATCATTTTTAAAGTTATAATAGTTTATTTTCATAAAATAATTTTTAAAAATACAGTCCCTTCAAATTCACTCCACATTGGAATCTAACATGCTAAAATATTTTAAAGTATATTTATGAAAACTATACTATTTGGGGCAGTGATTAAAAAAATCATTGAGAGAAACTGAAGAGATTATAAAAGGGTTTTATTCCCGATTTGCTTGTAGAATTTTTTACTAAATGGACAATATGATTTGGTGATAGAGTGATTTAGAAAAAGTAAAAATATTCATGTATTCCTGAACATGGTATTTTTTGTCACATTATCCAGCTCTCCAGTAAAGTTTTGCATTGAGAGGGAACAATAGAATTTGTTTCCCAGAGATCTACAGTAGTCTGGTGCAAACTCATATATGTTTACTTCAGGTTGAGTAATCTCTATTAAGACCTGTAAAGGTTTCTTGCTTGACTCTTTCTTTCTTGACCCCAGTTCTTTGTTCATTTTCCATATATATATATATATATATATATATATATGTAATTCTTCTTCCCCATATGGCTTGTGGAATAGTGGGATGGGTACAAAATATCAAACTTGAATCCCAGTTTAAACCAGGAAATGTTTACCTCTTAACCTCTGTGTGTTAAGTTTTCAGAGCCTCCATTTCCTTTTCTGGGAGGATGATTATTGGCTCTACTTACCTCATGTGTTTTTGAGATTTATTAAAAATTTTTAATAAATGGTGAAATGTACTGTAAAGGAGTAAAATTTGCCACTCCAAAAAGTTCCTTTGACATATGGGTTATTTTGAACTAAAAACAAGTAAGGTGCCCCAAACTCAGGAAGAAACTTTGACCGTCTCCCAGCTACCTAAAAGAATGAAGATAGAAGACCTGTCCCAGGAAGGAACCTGTTATTCAAGGTAATTAGTATGAGCTAGGTGTGTCGACAGGGAGGACTCTGGCAAAGTCTGTTAAAACCTCTCCCTGTCGCGCGGTTTCTCTCGGGCCCAGTAGACATTTGTTTGCCACGCATTTGCTTTCCCGTCTCCTCATTGATTGCTTTCCTCCGTGAACCAGTAGGCTTCTACCCGCCCCCAGCATCCTCTTTTCTTTTTTAGCTGAAAATGGTATTTAAGTTGAGGATGGTATTTTGGCCATTTCAGTGAGCTACTCAGGTTTCCTGGGTCTTTCCTATGTACACATGTTATAAAAACTTTGATATTCTCCTGTTGATCTGTCTCATGTCAAAGTAGTTCTTAGACCAACCATAAGAACATAGAAGAGGAAAATTTCTTTCTCCCCAACAGTGCTTAAACAATATTGATTATTTTTTAAGATTTAAATTGAAATCAACTCCTTGAAATTTTTGTATTCATGGTTTAGAATCAATTGCTCGTTCCTTTATGTCCAGACTTAATTAGATTCTGTCCTTTATTAGATCTATTTGTGCAAATGTCTTTCTTTTCAAATAGTTTTTGAACTTTCCAACTGTAAAAAGTTCTTGTATAAACTAGACATTGTAACTACTAAAATTATATTTTTATAAGTTATGAAAAAGCAGCCTCAGTTGATTATTTTCTATTTAGGTCATCAGTTTTTCATGTGATAATTAAATACCTGAAGACTAATATTATTTTAATAATAAAGTTTCCCCATGTACCTATTTTTTAAACTTTTTGTATAAGTTGTTTTTCTCTGAAAGTATTTTTTTTTCACATTGAGTAGTGAAGGGGGAGCAAAATATATAACCGCAAAGTATTTGCCTCTTTGGCACATTGATTATTTTAGGCTGACTATTTTTAAGAAACTCCAGACAGGAAAAGCTCTGAAAGTTGAGTGGAAGTTATCCTTTGGTAAGAAGCATTTACATTTATAAGGGAAATCTCCGTTTGTAAGGGAGTATACCTTGCTGTACCAGGAAGATATAACCAAATCTCTAAAACTGTTATCAGTGGCGAAGGCACAGACCTGAATCTGCTTAAACCAGACCCTTGTTTACTGTGTTTTTCCTGGGAACCTCCTATAAAAGACTCCCACCTCCCCAAATCTTGTTTTGTCTTTAGATGAAAATGGTATGTAAGGTGATGGCTTAAGGGAGATAAGCCATTTTGGGGAGTTACTCATTTTTCCTGGATATCTCCCAAGTATAGAGGAGTAACGCATATTATTAAATTTTTGTTTTTCTCTTTTTAATGTGTCTTGTATCAATTTCATTCTTAGACCAGCCAAAGAACCTAGAATGGTAGAAAGAAATGTTTTCCTTCCCAACAGCAGATTATAAAACCAAAGCATTTATGGTCTCACAGAACTCTGCAAAGCTTATTAGTATAGTTAGTTCTCTATCACATTGTGTAAAATTTTAACTTCTTTTACCATCTGTCCTTTATTTAAAAGATGTATTATTGCATTTTAGAATGTATTTATCTATACCACCTTAGAATTATTTAGAAATTAAGTACTTTGCATTTTTATTTTGTCCTTATAAGTTAGAAATAATAAAAATACAGTAGATTCTGGTTTGGGGCTTTTAAAAGAATAAATAAAACTGTTTTGTTTAGGTCATTGAATTGGAAAATCGGCTAAAATCTTTTGAGAAAAGGTCAAGAAAATTAAAAGAAGGGAATAAAAATTTAATAAAAGAAAATGATTTCCTGAAATCCCTTGTAAAAGAGCTGCAAGAAGATGCACAGACTAAAGAAAAAGAGCTGGAACAGTTAAAAAAGGGAAGTAAGGGTGCGGAGAAAGACAAAGCTAAACTTGAGGCAAAGATCAGTGAGCTGGAGATAGAAGTCGTTTCCCTGAGGAGACAAGTGGCGGAAGCTAACGAGCTGAGAAATGAAAATGAAGAGCTGATGAATTCAATGGAGAAATTACAGCATTCAGCGGACAAAGCTAAATCTGAGATGGCCACCACGGAAGCGCGATCTGGATCTGGGCAATCTGATTATAAGACAACCACTACCAAGGTTAAATTTAAAACAGCCAAGAAAAAGTACTCTGTGGGTCGTTACCACACTGTTCTCAATCACTCCATCAAGGTCATGAGCAATGTGTTTGAGAACCTCAGCAAGGACGACTGGGAGGACATGAGTGAAAGCAGGTAAAGCTCTCATTAACTTAGGTCTGTGGTGGGGACACTGTGCATATGTAAAGCACCAGCAAATGGAGATTGAATTTCAACTACTGTCGATTTGGTATTCAGAAAAAATACTGTCAGATCCTTTGAAATATCTTGGGAGGTCTTGTTCTGAGCTTATTGACTGAAATTTGCATGCAAAATTAGCCACAACTGCATGAGTATTTGAATAGGTGCCAGGAAACCCAAAAGAAGGCAATGCTTGATTTCTTCCAGTGATGCTATTTTCATGCAGTCATGAGGCTTGAAATTGACAGTTTGGCAGGTTGATTTAATTTGCTGGCCCTTTGCATATTCACCACTGACAGCTAAGGATTCCCAGGCAAGCCTACTAAGTCGGTTTAGTTATCTTGTGACATGGCAACCTGGGAGGAGAAACATTTTTTCCCCTTAATTTAGTTAGATAAATTTTGAATGACCCATTTCAGCTTGTTACCAGATGTCTACAAGCTGTTTAACATCCTTTAAATTAAGAACCATCTTCACTAATTATTTCATGTATGTATTATGCAAAGTCATTGTACTAACTTTAATTGAATGGTGGCTAAAATTCATACTTTAAAGTTAAAGCTCTACAGATTGCTAGTTCTAAGTTATATAACCCCTAGTGAATAGCTGCAAGGGAATACTAAAAATCTATAATATTTCTTTCCTTTTCCCCTGGCTATCCATTCATAGACACACTTGAAGCACGTCAGTAAAACCACAAAGGTAAATGGATGATAAAACACCTCTTTTTATACCTAAATAATAGGGACATTTAGTGTTGCCAGAATTGCTAACAGACACATGGAACAATTTTCTGTAATTCTGTCTTGTTTTATAGCAGCATATATTTCCTTTTATTTTCCTAAGTTTTTTTTTTTTTTAATCTGCAGTCGTGGTCTGTTTTAGATTTGAGATGTTTCTGGATAGTTTTCTTAGACATAGAAGTGAAACATTTTAAAATGCAGTTCCCAAACTTGTTTGCATATTAGAATCACCTGGGGATCTTATAAAAATTCCAAAGCTCAGGCCACATCCCAGAACAATTAAATCATAATTTCTGGAGCGAGATACAAGCTTCAGTAGTTTTTGAGTCTCTGCAGCTGATTTCAATATGCAGACAAGTTTGGGAACCAGTGTTTTAAATGAACATTGGTCATGCCTCTGGTCTTTATGCAGGTGAAAAACTCAGAAGCAAATTTACAGAAGTAGTAAGAAAGACCAAATCTGTATTCCTACTTCTTTGTTATCTCTTCTAAGGTTTTCTTCCATGTTTTCAAAAGCAATTAGAGATAAAATCCTACTTGACTTAAAACCCACTAAGTGTTTATCAATGTCTTCCAGGAAATTTTGGTTTCATCTACTAATTATATCTCATAAGTCAGTACTACCACACTTGTCATAATATAGTGGTACATATTTACTCATGTGTATGTATATGTGAATAAATACATGAAAGTTAAGAAATACACTCAGTTCAATTTTGTCTTCTTAATGCATGGCAGAAGGTCATGTATTTTGGGAGATGTATCACCATATCTATTAAAACATAGGGATTGTCATTTTAAGTTATTTAGCAGTGAAACTCAGTTTTATACTGTGAGGATTATGTTATATTTCCTGCCTGACAGAACAATCCTAGGAATCACTCAAATGCAGAGAATTCTCAAACTATTAGAAATCCTAAATGAAGCTTCAGGATTTCAGAATATTCTATTGGATTGGCCAAAAACTTCATCCAGATTTTTCCATAATGTTCGTCTTATGGAAAATTTGAACAAACTTCTTGGCCAACCCAAATATTTCTTTAGATTTTCATAGTCTGAAATGTAAAAAATTTACTTGGATAGTGAGGAAAATAGAGCTTGGTCCTTTTATATTTGTATGATACTATATCATCATTACCTTATTAATATTTATTTCCCATGTTGTACAGCATTACAAAAGCATGACGTCAAATAACGGAAAAAAAAAAATACAATGTAGCAACAAGTATGGGGAACAAGCACAGATTAGGGGAGTCCAGTGCCTAACAAGCTGTGGAGGACTCTTCAAGAGATTTGAGGCAAGAGGGAGTTTTAAAGCACGTTAGAAGAGGCCAGGGCTTCTCTGGTGGCTCAGTGGTAAAGAATCTGCTTGCAATAAAGGGGACATGGGTTTGATCCTTGTGTCAGGAAGATCCCCTGGAGAAGAAAACGGCAGTCCACTCCAGTATTCTTTCCTGGGAAATCCCATGGATAGAGGAGCCTGGTGGGCTAAAGTCCATGAGATGGCAAAAGAGTTGGACACAACTTAGCGGCTAAACAGCAATGGTAAGAAGAGGCCAAGCAGAAACGGAACATGACTGATTAGGAGATCAGGGATTTCCTTTTAAGGCTAGTGGGTTCTATTTTCTAGGGTAAGGTAAACTAGCTGAAGCTGGTTTGGGGGATTGTGATTGGTGTATGTTAAGTTTCCTTGACAGTGATGTATTTTGCATTAATGTTTTGATGATGAATTTGGTTTTGATTACTGATTGGGCCAGGGGCAACTTGGCACTTTATGGGTCCCAATATTAATTACCTTTATTTTGATGGGTAATAATCAGTAGGGGTTGTTAATACCTTGAAGAAGAAAAGCAGAATTTCAGCAAAACATGTTTATCAAATCTGTGGAAAAGGAGACAGTGAAAGGGCTGGAAAATACATTACAAAATAGAACCAAAATCCCCAAAGATAACAATAGACTGGGAAGATAAAGTTATCCAAAAGATGATAGGGTCCTATACTTGGCTATAAAATGCCAAATTTTCAGCTATACAATGGGAAAAATATGAGACTTAGTGTTTAAACTAACAAAACTTAGGAAGTTTTGTTAAATCCTTTATGTCAGTTCATAAAGCACGCTGGAAAAACTTACACAAATTCAGTCTGCATCTATCAGGAGTCCTATTCTTCTCATCAGTTCAGTTCAGTTCAGTCGCTCAGTCATGTCTGACACTTTGCGACTCCATGAATCGCAGCATGCCAGGCCTCCCTGTCCATCACCAACTCCCGGAGCTTACTCAAACTCATGTCCATCGAGTCGGTGATGCCATCCAACCATCTCATTCTCTGTCATCTCCTTCTCCTCCTGCCCCCAATCCCTCCCAGCATCAGGGTCTTTTCCAATGAGTCAACTTTCCGCAGGAGGTGGCCAAAGTCTTCTCATAGTACACTTGAAATATTAAATTAAATTCTGGACATAATGGTTCATCAAAATAAGCTGGTATACTTTCAAGAGGGATCAGGATGGGAAAGCATCTCAAAAGCATTTATGTTAAGAATATTAGGTCAAGCTAGAGATGTTTTTCTTAGAGAAACCACTGTTGCTGGTGTCATATAACTATGTCCAAATAGATAATCTATGTAGAAAAGGGATTGGACTTACATTTCTAGTCAGCATTAACACCAGCACTTCTAATCTACTTCCCTTTATTTTTTTTTTACACAAACTATTAACATCCTATTTCAAACTATTAACACACACACTGTGTGTGTAAAACTTCAGCACAGTTCAGCTGCTCAGTCGTGTCCGATTCTTTGCGACCCCATGAATCGCAGCATGCTAGGCCTCCCTGTCCATCACCAACTCCCGGAGTTTATTCAAACTCATGTCCATCGAGTCTGTGATGCCATCCATCCATCTCATCCTCTGTCGTCCCCTTCTCCTCCTGCCCTCAATCTTTCCCAGCATCAGGGTCTTTTCCAATGAATTGACTCATTGCATGAGGTGGCCAAAGTATTGGTTTCAGCTTCAGCATCAGTCCTTCCAATGAACACCCAGGACTGATCTCCTTTAGGATGGACTGGTTGAATCTCTTTGCAGTCCAAGGGACTATCAAGAGTCTTCAACACCACAGTTCAAAAGCATCAGTTCTTCAGCACTCAGCTTTCTTCACAGTCCAACTCTCACATCCATACATGACTACTGGAAAAACCATAGCCTTGACTAGACAGACCTTTGTTGGCAAAGTAATATCTCTGCTTTTTAATATGCTGTCTAGATTGGTCATAACTTTCCTTCCAAGGAGTAAGCATCTTTTAATTTCATGGCTGCAATCACCATCGGCAGTGATTTTGGAGCCCAAAAAAATAAAGTCTGACACTGTTTCCACTGTTTCCCCATCTATTTCTCATGAAGTATGGGACCAGATGTCATCATCTTAGTTTTCTGAATGGTGAGCTTTAAGCCAACTTTTTCACTCCTCTTTCACTTTCATCAAGAGGCTTTTTAGTTCCTCTTCACTTTCTGCCATAAGGGTAGTATCATCTGCATATCTGAGGTTATTGATATTTCTCCTGGAAATCTTGATTCCAGCTTGTGCTTCTTCCAGCCCAGGGTTTCTCATGATGTACTCTGCATATAAGTTAAATAAGCACAGTGACAATATACAGCCTTGACGTACTCCTTTTCCTATTTGGAAACAGTCTGTTGTTCCATGTCCAGTTCTAACTGGTGCTTCCTGACCTGCATATAGGTTTCTCAAGAGGCAGGTCAGATGGTCTGGTATTCCCATCTCTTTCAGAATTTTCCACAGTTTATTGTGATCCACACAGTCAAAGGTCTTTGGCATAGTCAATAAAGCAGAAATACATGTTTTTCTGGAACTCTCCTACTTTTTCGATGATCCAGGGGGTGTTGGCAATTTGATCTTTGGTTCCTCTGCCTTTTCTAAAACCAGCTTGAACATCTGGAAGTTCACGGTTCACGTATTGCTGAAGGTCTGACAGAATGTGGCCCACTGGAGAAGGGAATGGCAAACCACTTCAGTATTTTTGCCTTCAGAACCCCATGAACAGAACAGTATGAACAGTGTAAAACTTAGTCCTCTTATTTCTTACTTGTATCCCCACCCCACTAGGATGAAAGCTACCCAAGGGAAGGGCAAGGATTTTCTTAAGTATTTTATTAAATGATGACTACTCATAAGAGATGGAACTAAAATCAATGGGTGAATGGCTCAGAGATTCAAATTTTGTCCTACACTAAGAGAAAACTTTCCTTTCTGTTAGAAATATTAAAACTTTCTGCCCTGGGTGAGAAAGTAGTGAGTTTTCTAACCTTGAGCATGTCAAAACATGTACTTCCTGAGTTTTACACTTAGAGAAATACTATAGAAGTGATGCTGGCAAGAATGTGATATTAGATAATCTAACTTCTTGATGAGATTTTATAATTTAGTAAAATCTATTTACACAAATTTTCTCTCAATATATTTAGACTTTCTTAACAATGAGAACTAGTAAATGTTCAAATATATATATATGAAGCCTGTGTTATTATTTAGTCTTGAACTTAAAAGAGGTACATTAAACAACTCTTCTTCTTGGGTTTTATATCTCCCCTTTTTTCCAAAATCAGTGATTCTGAAACACAGAACTTACGAAATTTGGGAACAATTATTGTAGAAACATCCCAGAAAATAAGTCCAACAGAAGACAGACGAGACCAGAAAGAAAGTGACCAAAGAGAGGACAGCCAAATGCAAGGAAAAGAAATAGTACAGATATATCCAAATGTAGATGACAAGACCCCAAAGGTATGTAACAGTTTTGATTAATTACAGACTTTTTAATTTCATCTCATGTGTCATAACTTAAATCAATTTTTGTTGCCAGTGATTTAATTTGAATCCTTAAAAATTGTTTTCTTTGTGATATGCAGTGAAAATACTCGCTTTTAAATAATTTTCAAGTACTAATTTGTTAAAAAATCTTTTGCATAGATAAAAATATAAGTAGATATAATATTCCTAAATATAAATCTTAAAGTATCTCAGCCAGAAATAAATGTGATAATAAGTTCATTACTGTTTTCAGGTAAATAAAATATTTGAAGAGAAGAAACTTCTGTTTTTATATTAGCTTTCATAATAGCAAATTTAGTCTGACTAAATCTTTAAATTTCTGATTTCTACCTAATGTAAATACATTAGGTAATGTATATACATGTACAAATAAATACATACTCCCCAATGTATTTATTTTATTTTTCTGATTTATTTTTTATTTCACGGTAATATATTTTATTCCCCAAAATATTTTAAGTCTTAAAATATTAATGTTCCAAGACAACTTATTCAGTAATTCTTATTACTGAATATATCATGTCATTAAAGGTTTACTATTTGGCATAGATCAGTGAAAAACTGAGAAAAGATAATTTTATCTTGGTTTTTAAAGAAAATTAGCTTTGAATTAACCTGTAAGTTTCTTTAAAAACCTTGTCTAAAACTGTTTATTTTTTGAGATCTTGCCAGAACTTTGGAGCAAAAAGCTCAGGAATAACTAAAGTTTATCTTAGTTACTACCATAATAAAGTTTAGATGAAAAATTATATGCTAAGTACCTGCTGACTGTTTGGTTGATAAATAGTTTTTAAAGAAATCTACTTTGCTACACATTATTTGGTTGGAATTTTTGTGTAGCTGAAGTTGATTATGTACAGCTTAATGAATTTATAAATAAAAGAAACTCATAATTCTACTCATAAAATAAGAGAATGAAGTATAAACTACTTTGCATAGATCTATGTACATTGTTGGGAGTCAGAAAATTATAGTTGGTCAAATTGTACCAATTGTATTTGGCAAATATTAGAACTTCTCACTTATTCAAAGGTAACCATTATCTTAATTTTAGTCACTCCCCTTCTTTTCTTTATTATTTTATCTCTCCTAACATGGTTAATTTTGCCTATTTTTGAACTTTATGGAATCTATATTTTGTCTCTGGCCTTTTTCAATATTATGGGGAATATGTTCATTTTTATTGTTGTATATTATTTTAGTATTGGAATATATCACAGTTTATATACCCATTCTACTACTGAATTTTGGGTTACTTCAGTTTGGATTTCTTGTAAATGATGTTGTAATGAATATTCTTGTAAATACAAGTATGGGCATTTCTACAATGAAATGCCTAGGGGTAGGATTACTGCACCATAGAATATGTGTTTCTAAGATTTCAGGTGATACTGTTTTCCAAAGTGCGGTACCAATTTGTTGCATCCCCTAGCAAACTGTGAACATTTTTACTGCTTCTTATCAACATGTGTTATATTAGTCCTTCTTATCTCAGCCACTTTTGTTTGTATATTGAGGTATATTATTGTGAGTTTAATTTATGTTCTATGATTACTAATAAGGCATTGAATACTACTTCTTATAATTATTATTCATTTGGAGTTCTTCAGTGAATTGCTTCCTTAAGCGCTTCCTGCTTTACAAATGAATTGTCTATCTAGTCCTTATTCATCTGGAGGAGTTCTTATGTATACTACATATGAGTCTTCTGTTGATTATGTTCTTGCCCTATGCCATCCTGTGCCCTTTCACTCTTTTTAGTGGAATCTTTTGGGGGAATAAAACATCATAATTCTAATGTGGTCAAATTTAATAATTTTTTTCCTCTATGAATAATGCTTATTTATGCTCTCTATAAATTTTTTACCTACTTCGACTTCAGTATTTTTATATTACCTTACTTGTTGCCTTTTTCTATACTGTGTGATTTACTGTTTTGATTTTGACCTCTATATCTAGCATTGATTTTTACATGTGATGAATGATAGGGATTAAGTTTTACACTTTCCCCCACTCTGTGCAGTAGTACCACCTTTGTTGTAAATCAGGTGTGCATATACATATGGGTATGTAACTGGGTATTTTTCTTCTGTTCCATAAGTATATTCATCTATATCATACTGTCTCATCACTGTTATTTTATAGTAGTCTTAATTGATAATAGAACAAGTCTTCCATCTTGTTTTCCTTCAAGAGTTCCTTCAGTATTCTTGGTCCTTTGTTCTTTGGAATCAGCTTCTCACAAACAAACCTTTGGGATTTTGATAGGGACTCTATCAAAATAAATTAATAATAAAACAATGAGAAGAGCCTGAAAAGTAGAGAGGAGACACACCGAGTAGGGATCTCAGAATTGGAGGAACAACGTGGTTGGTGAGGTCTCTGGGTTTTCATTTTGCCTCATATATCCTGGCCTGGATGCTGAAGAAATATGCAACTTGAAAAGGCCAGTTGGTCAGATGATAAAAGCCCCCTATAGAACCCTGTTCTCTCTAGTCAAAGGACCAGGAAATGGACAGCCCAGTAAAACAGAAAATTTTTACATAACTGCCCTACCCAGCCAAACACCGTGGAAATAATTGCAACCCTACCTCTACCCTCAACCAGTAAAGACCTAGTGAGGAACATACACTTTCATTCTCACCTAGCTGTAAGAAGGCATGCCTTCTCCTCCTTTCAGGGCCCATTGAAGAGCCCCTGGTAATGACTCTTCCCTTCATGCCATTAGAGGCCATGTAGGGAGTTGGACATCCATCTGTATCCAGCGATGAAGAGATGACCCTTTCCTTTCCTAACAGTGTTTCTCTCAATTTCAGAGGTCAAGTGCGGAGATGGGGACTTTCATAACCTCCCATATCTAGAAAGCCTCCCATACCCTCTCCACTGTGTCAAGAGAGGCCAAGTGAGGAACGGAAACAAGGTCATTCTCCAATTCCCAACCAAGGTGGTATCAGCAGAGGTCTTTGGGGAGCCTGAGCTTTCACCCCCAGTGATATTAATGAGGTGCTCCTTACCAACCAGGATGTCATCAGAGACTGGACTTCCATCCACAGCTGGGCAGTAATGAGGAATACAACACCTAAAATGTCCAGAATATAATTCAATATCATTCATCATACCTAGCTACCAGAAGCACCTCAACTTGTATGAAAAAAAGACAGCAAGAGAAGTGAACAGCAAGATGACACAGCCATTCAAACTACATATGATAATAATTTAAAGTAGCTGTCATTAAAAATGCTTCAAGAAGCGTTTACAAACAGACTTGAAACAAATGAAAAACTAGAACATCTCAAGAATGAAGTAGAAATTCTCATCAAAAAAGTAGAAGATATAAAATAGAACCAAATGGAAATTTTAACGAAAAAATAACTGCCCTGTGTTCCCACCACAAAGGATATCATCAGTGCCCACCATTCAATTTGATGTCAGGACTGGTGATACCAAGCACCCCCCAGGAGGGGAAGAAAGGTTTAACACTTACATAATGGAATAGAGGACCTAGAAATGGATTTACAAGTATGAAAAATAACTGATTTTTGAAAAAGGTGCAAAACAGTTCAGTAGAGGAGACAAATAGTGCTGGGAAAAAGGGAGATTTCCTAGGCAAAAAGATGAACCTAAACCTCACACAAAAATTAACTTGAAATAAATCACAGATAGTAATGTAAAGCAAATTCTAAAACTTTAAGAAGGAACCATAAGAGAAAATCTTAAGAGGGTTTAGACTTAGAGCTTGCGGAAGACTTTTTAGACATGTTATCAAAAGCATGGTCCTTAAAAGAGAACACCAGTAAATTAAACTGCATCAAAATTAAGAACTTTGCCTTTGTGAAAGACCCTCTGAAGAGGGTTAAAAAACCAACCAAACAAACAAAAAACACGATACAGACCAGGAGGAAGTATTTATAAAACCATATATTTGACAAAAGACTGATATCTTGAATATATAAGGATTTTTGTTGAGGCTTAACAGTAGAAAAATAGTTCAATTAGAAAACAGGCCAAAGACATGAACAGATATTTCACAGAAACGAATAAATGGATAGCAAATAAGCACATATAAAGATGTTCAATATCATTAACCATTAGGGAAATGCAGATTGAGACCCTGATGACATGCATATCTATTAGAACAGTTAAAATTAAAAAATACCAGTGCTGACAAGGATGCAGAGAAATTGGATCTTTCATAGTGTACTAGTGTGAATATAAAGTGGTACAGCATTCTGGGAAGCAGTTGGTAGTTTCTTTTAAAAAAATTATATGCTTCCCTTGCAACCCAGCCATCTCCTTCTTGGACATTTATCTCATAGAAATTAAATTTATGTTTAGTCCAGACAGTTACATCTATACATGAATGGTCATAACAGCTTTATTTTTAATAGCTAGAAACTGCAACAACAAAATTTTCTTCAGTAGCTGAATGGTTAATCAAACTGTGATGAATCCATACTATAGAATACTACTCAAGAATAAAGAAGATATACAGGCTTTTGCTATATGCAATACCCTAGCTTTGTGACCTCAGATTTCTCATCTGGAGTTGGAGTCTAGACTTTCCTTTCCTCCTACATCCTGTGTTGAGATTTAAATAAGTTTAAAGATTTGTATGCAGATAAGGAAGCAATGGTTAGAACTAGACATAGAATAACAGACTGGTTCCAGATTGGGAAAGGAGTATATCAAGGCTGTATATTGTCACCCTGTTTATTTAACTTATATGCAGAGGACATCATGAGAAACACTGGGCTGGATGAAGCTCAAGCTGGAATCAAGATTGCTGGAAAAAATATCAGTAACCTCAGGTTTGCAAATGACACCACACTTACAGCAGAAAGCGAAGAAGAACTAAAGAGCCTCTTGATGAAAGTGAAAGAGGAGAGTGAAAAAGTTGGTTTAAAACTCAGCATTCAGAAAACTAAGATCATGGCATCTGGTCCCATCACTTCATGGCAAATAGATGGGGAAACAGTGGAAATAGTGAGAAACTTTATTTTTCTGGGCTCCAAAATCACTGCATATGGTGATGGCAGCCATGAAATTAAAAGACCCTTACTCCTTGGAAGGAAAGTTATGATCAACCTAGACAGCATATTAAAAAGCAGAGACATTACTTTGCCAACAAAGGTCCATCTAGTCAAAGCTATGGTTTTTCCAGTAGTCGGGTATGGATGTGAGAGTTGGACTATAAGGAAAGCTGAGTGCAGAAGAATTGATGCTTTTGAACTGTGGTGTTGGAGAAGACACTTGAGAGTCCCTTGGACTG